TGGAGATGAGATACAGTCATGTGTGTAACATCATCAAAAAACAAATCTGCACACAGGAGAGAAACATCGATCCAATATCCTAGAACGCGTCTCCCATACATCCGGTGCCGAGCGAAAATGTGCCGATACTCTTCCTTTTCGGCAACTATACCTACGGGGTTCCCAGATGGTATTGGAAAATTCAATTGACAGGCGCATCTTTGAAGCTCTAGACACGCTAGCTTAAAAACGAGGAGATATATTCTCTCTTGAGCTATCTAGTGTGGCCCAGCATATAATGATACGAATGTCTATTTCCAACCTATACTAAGTGACATATAAATCCGAACACCCAGTTTAAATGGTTTTATTTTAATAAAATTTTGTATAAGTACTTAATGAAGCATAATAAGTAAATGATAAAAATTTCAAAATGATTGCACTGCTTTAAAGCCCTTTGACCTTTAATAATGTGTGGATGCACCCTGATGTTCTACGCATTCTCCAACGCGCCTAGGCATGCTTCTGATCAGGTGGTCAATGTCCTCCTGTAGTATCTCATTCCAGGCAACCACCAACTCCTCTCGAAGTGCTTCTAGAGTCTGGGCAGGATGTTGCAAATTGAGCAATCTCCTACCCATCGTATCCCACACGTGCTCAATTGGGGATAAGTCGGGAGATCTTGGTGGCCATGGTAACAATGTGACATCGTTATGTTGAAAGAAGTCTATTGTGACTCTTGCAACATGTGGTCGGGCATTATCTTGTTGGAAAGTTGGATCTGCCAGGGTGTCAAGATAGGGTAAAAGATGGGGTTCTAGAACTTCGTGGATATAACGCTGCGCGTTGATGTGACCTCTGATGAAGATTAAAGGTGACCTGGAACCATAATCTATAGCACCCCAAACCATAACTCCAACAGTGTGATGAACATGTCTTTCAACAAAATACTGTGGATTCCTCCTTTCACCATGTCGCCGTCTAACCCTGGCACGAACATCGTGCATGCCTAAACAAAATCAAGACTCATCACTAAAGACAATACTGTTCCATTCCTGATCTCAGAGTGACCGTTGTCTGCACCACTGAAGGCGATTACGTCGGTGTTCTCGAGTTAAAGGGGGAGGACCCAGTGTGGCCGGTATGAAAACAAGCCAAAACTTCTCATTCGTCAGTAAACACTTCGCTTGCCAATAGGTCTTCCGTGTTCTGCAAACCATTTATTTGCAATGGACCTGGTAGTGGAGAAACGGCTTCTTAAGGCCAATAATCTTAGGCGGCGATCTTCACGGTCTGTTGTTCTACGGCGGCGTCCAGTGCCCTTTGCTCTTTGCGTACGGCCTTCCCGAAGCCATGCCTGACAACACCTAACCACAGTGTCTACACTTCTTTGCACTCTAACTGCAATTGCCCGAAAAGAAAGTCCAGCTTCCCGAAGTCCCACTATACGGCCCCTATCAAACTCACTAAGTTGACGAAATCGTACAGGTCTCCGTACTCTAGGCATCGTAACCGATCGTAAAGGATGTCAAGAACC